CCCACACCCACACCCACACCCACACCCACCCACACCCTCACATCTGCTTTTTAGAGTAGGCTGTTGGGAGTCGTTAGTACTCCTGAAGTGTACTCTCATTTTGAATTCGTGTGACTCGTCAAAGTCTTGCTTTTGTTAACTTTTCGTGTCTAGCGGAGTTTCGACGCCTTGTTGGGGTGTCAATACATGCAACTTCGTCGATTAGTATTCATCAAAAATATAAATTATTTATCATAATATTGTATGTTTCATACATCTTTGGTTAATGCGTTAGGTTTTTATATAATTTTATTTTATTTCAAAAGTATGATACGAAATTGAGATGGGGATAAACTTTGTGGTAAAAAGAAGGATGGATGAGTTCGTGTGTTTGTGGCTAGTTTGGGTTGTGATTGAATCGTTGTCTGCTTCATTTTTGCTCGATTCGTGTCAAGATTTGTTTCGGTGGTTTTTTACGTATGAAGACTGTTTCAAGTGTTAAATTGGTGGCAGCAACTGGTCGAACTTTGATGTTAGCAAGTGCAGGCTCAACATTTGCATAGTAAGTTCGCCACCATTGTAAGAATTTTTGTCGGAATTGACGAAAGGCCAAATTGTGATATTCATATCGGGGGTACATCATGTCTGGGTCCCATGTCTTGTCTTGTAGTACGGGAGGGGATTGAATGACATCTTGCATTATTGTTTGAAGTTGCTTTTCACGTCGTGTAGGTTGGTACAATACTTGTTGGTGTAGTCTGGTGTACACATTGCAGTTTAGTTTTGTCAGAACTTGCATTGCATCATACACACGGAAAAATCGATTGAATCGTTTTTGAATGAATTTTGGTGGATAATTACTTAATAACAACGACATATCAATGCGAATAAGTTCATTGTTGAAATCTTGTACATCGGAACAAAGTCGAGCAGCACGTAATAAAGCAGCAAATGGTATATTACGATGAACATGTCGTGGATGGTCTGATGAGTATGGTAATATATATGGTTCCGCTGTATTTTTGTGATAGAGGTTTGTTTTCAATCGGCCATTTATGTTTAGTACAGTAACATCCAAAAAGTTAACACATGTATCAATTTGATAGTTAATTTTAATATTGATATCTTTTTTGGCAGCTTTTCCAAGTTCTTTTTTAATATCAGCCATGTTCTCGTTTGTTGCCATGAATATATCATCGATGTATCTGTGAAAATACATGTTTTAAAAGGTAAGGTAACTTCTCTTATTTAGCACAAGTTTCTCTAACCTTCCATAGATTCCATTGTGTGCTGCTTGATATTTGATCAAATCTTGCTCCCATTCATGCATATAGATATTCGCAAGTACTTGTGTAAATGCTGAACCCATAGCACCACCACGAATTTGTCTATAATATTTATTGTCATAAACAAAATAATTCGTATCCAATATTAATCGAGCCATTCTCATAATAGCATCAATCGATAGTGTACCTATTTTCCCATGATGTGAATTGTTTTCCAAAAATCGCATCAATGCATGTAATGCTTCTTCACGAGGTATCATCGTGTAGAGATCAGTCACATCAATTACGATAAATTTTGTTGTGGCTTGGAAGTGACCGTCCAAAACGTATGTTTCTAATTTTCTAACTACATCAATGCCATTAATAAATGTCACTTCACGTGTAACTTTCAAATATATAGGCGCTAATAAATCATTCAAAAATTTTGATAACAATGTTGCTGGAGCATGAATTGAAGCAACTATAGGACGCAATGGTGTACCAGGCTATTTAGTAAGAAACACAATATGAATGATGCATATATATATGTATTACCTAAACTATATTTACTTTATGTGGTTTTGGTAGTCCATGGTAATGGCCGAGTTCTAAGTCCATTGTTTTAGGAGATATTTTCTTAAATTGTTGAATGGTAATAGCTTTTTGTCTTACAAGATTTGAGAGTAATTTTTGTACAGCATATAACATATCTGATAATGGACAGCGGCCATTCGTAATTTCTTGATAAGCATTTGTTTTTAACATATATTCTTCAGCTTTTCGTGCTAAATCAGTTGCCTTGCCAATATAAAACACCTTGCTTTTATCTGTGCGCCGTACAACAATATCTGGTCGGTTACGGAGAAGGCATTGAATACTTTGCACAATTTTATTTTCGTGCTTGGCACGTCTCTCTAATGTTCTTGGAACCTTTTTTAATTGTAATTCAAGTAAAATATGTTGTAATGCAAGGAATGCTTCTTTTGCTCGTTTATCTGAGGTTGGTATTCGATGATCTCTTAGACAGTTTTTAATTGTAGTTGATATACTTTGATACTGTTCACTAACATGTTGTTCCATGCTTTTAGAAGATAAAAGAGTTTGACATGGTATAATATATTTGTAACCATTAATAAACATAGACATTTGTTGTGGAGTTAATTTTAAATCGACTTCAATAAAGGGTAAGGAAGCAGTAATACTTGTATAAATGGACATATTGCTCCGACGGCCACGAAACTGCTTCATTCGTTGATTGTCGCCGGAGCTTCGTCGAAAAAAGTATTCAATTTATGTTTAATATATAACTCGTGACGTTTTCCCATTGCTTGTCGTCGATTTTCAATTGCTTGGAATAAAATTTCGTCGCAACATTTTGACAACTTATTCTGGTAATCCGTAAGTAACTGTTGATGACCGCGTATTATATTTTGAATGGTGTCAAGATTTAAAGTCATTAAATCAAATTTATATTGTGTAATTGTCTTTGAATAATTTGAAACTAAACTAGCACGACGATCTCTATCAAGAACTTCGTTTGCGAGCATAGGCTCGACAAAATCCATGGATTGATTAATAAGTTTGTCATATACACTTGGTAATCGTCGTAAGAAAATTCGTTTACGGAGAACTTCTTCTTGTGCTGTTGCTTTCAACATATTTTCTGTCATGTGCCATACTTGTATGGCTAGTTGCACCTAAATTCATGAAAACAAAAATCTGAAATTGAATATAGACCATATACTATTGAAACAAACTTGTTCGTCATTTGGTTTTAAGTCGTAAAACTTTCTAATTAAATTACGATCATTAGAATCTAGTACCAACATTTTCTTTTTATAATCAAATTCTTGTCTTAAACGTTGTTGAGCACTTTGCACACATGCATTTATAGCATTACATAGAATAGCTGGGTCAATATAAGGCTGCCATTCTTGGGCATTATGTTCTAATTGTGAAATATTTTGTTGTAATTCGTTTATTGTTCGTTGAAATTGTTTCATAATTGTTTGTAGACGTTGTTCAATTATATGTTTGGAAAAACCATAAGTGCGACATGTATGATGTTTCTTAGCAAACGATTTCGACACTCGAGGTGCCCATTCACTTTGCTTTAACCCAAGATCAAGATACTCTCCCCAGAGTTGACGCTGTAAATCGAAATAATATAAGTTATTTGTTGCTTCAGTCATTTGTCGAACAAATTGAATTTTTTCCGTCGTATTTAAGCATTCAGCAATTTTGTCATCACCTTCTATTGCATTTGATAACATTTGTTTTAACTTTTTATCTGAAACTTTTAAATAACTCGGCTTAAATTGTTCCATAGGTGTATTTGACAATAATTTCTTGTTATGTTCTTGCTTTTTCTGTTGCTCGTGTTGTAGTTCTTCGTTAGCATCACTAACTACATTTGACACTTCGCTGGTGGATGGATTATTTTCAGTTGTAGTCTTTGACTTTTTTGTATTTATTTGTGATATTGATAATTCACTGAAAGATCGATTGACTTGTGTATCATCTTGATCATTTTCTTGTCGTTTACGTTTATTTTCTAGTCCTGTTCTAATATCATTACTATGTACGTTTTGCTAAATATGATAAAGAAACAGGTGTTGTAAAAAAATTTCGTTTTTCTCTCAGAAACTAATCGCATACTTCAGTATGTTGTTCTTGTTCAACATCTATCAGATCGTCGTCAGTATCATCAATCACAATTAAAATACCTTGATCTGTCTGACTTGTAGTAGCATTATTTCGTTTTTGTTCCCGACGACGTAATCTTCGGCGAATGTGTTGTTGCTTTCTATTACCATGACTTTTTTTCTTCTTTTGTTTCTTCGTAATATTATTCGTCTTATTTTCATCAGAAGTTAAACCTTGTATCGATGAAATTAATTGACATTGGTGACCTTGTACATCTTCTGAAAAGGGATTTAAAACGACAGTACTGCAACTACTGTTGCTCAGTGCCATTCACTTATGATGAGTACGGAATATAACAGATTTAAATCTACAATTTTAAACAAAAAATATGCTGAACTTGATATTCTTTTAAAATAATAAGACTTCTACATGTGATTGAAAAAAAAATTAAAAAAGAAAACAAAATAGTGAAAGTTAATGGCGGCACAAATCGAAACCTATTAAAGTATTGCTCAAGTCCCATAGATGTATTCATAATACCTGTGAGTATTCACAGAGATGAAAAACTTTCTTGTTATATGATGCCTGTATCCATTCTTGAAAAGATATAAATATGGAACAAAAGCACCTGATTCTCCCATTTGCCAATGTTTCATTTTCCAAATGAAGTCTCGTGAGACTTGTGAAGATGGTTGGGTCACATATATTTTACGCCATTTCTGGATGGCAAGCAGAAAGTCTATTCATATGAAAGATAATACAGATATAGGTAGGGAAATAGGTACATAAAAAAATGCAACTAGAACACATTTATGGTATACATGAAACAAAGAGGCGAAGGGAAAGAAACAAAAAGTAAGAAATGTGAGCAGCTCTAATTGTATCATTCTGTATTTTGTGGCCATGGTAAATCAATAATAATCATAGTATTCATTGGATTATAATCGTCTATATAATTCAACGGAACGTATTCTTCTTCTTCTTCTTCTTGTGTAGACTCTGATATCGTTTGATTTATTTGTATTTGTGATACTATTTCTTGTTCTTCTCGGTATTCTTGTAGTCCAGGATCAACATTCGTTTGGCTGTTTAGATTAAAATCAGGTATGTGATCTTCAATCTATGAATAGATGATTGTAAAAGTAGTATGTATCGGTAAGTTTTCTTTCTCTCAAATATTAAAATCTTTTACCTTACATCGAGGAATTTTAACGTAACATTGCATACAATCAAATAAATTGACTGTTACGTCTGTTGTCCGAAGCTGTTGGCTTAATTCATTTTCGTTGTATTCATCAATTGTCGATGATATAGACAGAGTATTAGCTGATAATTCAGGTGACTGTTATGAAAAGAAAAAACGTGCTTAGATTCACCGAAGATATCTTATTTTATTTACCTGTATAAAACGTTCACAATTCGAAGTATTTCTTTCGGATGTCATATTTTTGTCATCTAAATAGTGTGAGAAAAAATTATTTTCATTGAAAACACAACCAAGCTATGTAGTACCAAAGCTAGATTTCATTTGTTCAGTTAATTGAGACATCTATATAACAGATCAGAAGTGTTTTTCAAATGATATCTACGAGAAACAGAAACGTGATTGAATTAACATGAAGTATTAAAGTTATTATTAAACTCTTTGAATAGAAAAGCTAAATGTTTCTTTATTAAAATATTATTTACAACAACATGTTTCATTACAACAATTGAAAAATTACAAGAAGCATCCATAAAATCACACACAGTTATTTCGTATCTCATATATGCGTTTTTCTTTCATCTAAAGAAAATTCAAAAAATATATATTAATAGCAAAAGAAAGGTGAATCATTTTACTTTCTTATGTTTCAATGTGATGCCTATTCAACGCCGCCACTATTTTAGTCACCGCTAAACAATCATGAACAGCATATTGAATCATTTTTTGAATAGTATCATTTTTCTTCCAAGTGGCTAGACATGATTTATTTGTATCAATTTTTTCAAGGTTTATACTCCATCGGCTTTTCGTGTGCCTTTTATCGAGAAATTCGTGAAATATGTAGGCTATAGCCATTTGAAGAGACCATTGATAATTGAAATCATGGATTGAGTTACGGGAATATGTATGTAATGTTTTATCGACTTCTAAATGCACTTTAGTATATAAATGATTCAGTTTTTTAGTGTGCCATTTTTTAAAAGTTTTTTGGACATTTATGTTATTTATTTGTTCCGTCGTATCGGATGAGAAAAGTTGAGAAGGAATAAACTTTTCTAATTCTGATTTGGCATCACCCCATGAAAATATACTATTGGTGGGATTGAAGATTACTTTTAAAAGTGATCGTATCAACCAAAATATAAGTGATGAGACATGTGGTAGATAATTTGTTTGAATTAATAATACAATTGATTGCTTTCGTATCAACTCAATTTGTATTAATGCTGGTTGATGTGAATAAAAATCATCCTCTGTATCAATCGTAAATTTAGTCGTATTTCTTGCTTGTTCAATTAAGTGATGTAATAGTAATGAGGATGTTGACTGGTTTATATGATATATATGATGACTATTGAGTGGAATAAATTCGGGTAAAACACTTAAAGTTTTATTCAACTCGTATTTTCGAGTAAGTCGATTTTTTTGATGATTAGAAAACATGTTTGTTGATTTTTTGAAATTGAACTGGCGTAGTAAAGTGGTTGTGTTCACTTAATCTAGAAAATAAAGACACACATCATTTATGACAGGTTTTTTTAAGCTTTTCTTTATAAACATAGATATAAACCGGAGAAAAAAAGAAATGGTTCTAGTTGAATGGGCAATAACATTTGTATGAAGAAGGGAATATAATTGGAACAGATTCCATCTATTAAGTTACAAATTAGGTTTACTATAACATAGAGTATGATTCAAAAAGTGAAAAATATCATGTTACGAGAACAATAATTAAAGACAGTACGAAAAATACAAATAACAATATCAAAGACAAACTTCAATATTCTAGAATACTGTGTTACTTATTGACCGTCAATAGCATTGTCATTGCTGAATTGAATTAAGTGGGTTTTCGAAAGCTAATAATGTATTTAATGAATGAAAATTCTTGCTTGTCAATGTGATCTTCGAGTTTGGTTCCGAAAAAACTGGATGATGTTGAAAATATGCAAACCAAAGCCGACGAAATTCTCGGTTGAAACGACAGCGTGGTCCAAAGTCATACATGTAGTGGAAAGCAAATAAACGACCATTATCAGCAAACTTTTCAAGTTCTACTGATAGTTGTTGTCGATATATTGTAAAATCGAGCCATTGACCACGAAACTTATCATATGCCTTTTGATTACTCGAAAATCGCATAGTTTGAGCATGAAAATAATTGAAGAAATGTTTGACATGAGTTTCCACAAATAACAATGAATAGCCATTAATTAGAAGAGTTAATTCAAGATACACACGTTCCTGTTGAAAATCATCAACTAATGTACAGAAACATGCAGCACGAATTAAAGCTGATTGTAGCCAGTCACTATACGCTGATTTAGAACAGCCTGTAACATACGGCAATGTATAACGAGGAATGTTTGTATCAATATGAACTCGAGTATATAATTGTCCTTCTCGATTCTCGATATAAGCATTCAGAAATTGTACACTGGTTCCAATTAATTTTTGAAAACGTACATTTGAAAATTTTTCTCGAATATCTTCTAGAAAAGTCTCAAGTTCAAGTGCACTTGATTTATTCCAAGTAAAAAATAATCGATCTTTGTATCTGAAATAGTTATTAGAGTCAAAACATATGCCGAAATTGATAGGTAATCAAGCAAAATGTGAATAAAATGAACTACCTTCCAAAGAATTCAATATTTTCATCAATTTCTTTTAATATTTTCTCTTGCCAGATTGAGACATCAATAGTTGATAATGTTTCTGTTAGTGGCATCGTATTTGGTCCACCTTTGGTAAATGCATATAATTTATTCTTATAATAAAAGACATTATTATAAAGAACTAAATATAATAAATTTCGAATTGTTTCAATTGTGAGTGATTCAAGTTTGTTAGTTGCCAAATTATTACTCAAGAAGTGTTCAACAATATCGAGCATATTTTTATGTGTATCCATAGTATAAAAATTTGTTATCTGAACCGTACAAAAAAGAGTTGTAGAACGAAGACGACGTTCTGTGTTGGCATAATAATTTAATTTTCGAATAAAATCAGATTCATCGTAAAAGGTTTTTGACTTTAAAATTTTATCAACAAATGGTCTTAATAATTGATTCAGATATTTGCCAATTTTCCATGTCGAACTATACTTTGATGTAATAAATGGTACTAACGTTGTAGTATTATCCTATTTCAATTACAAATTAAGAAATAGAAACAAAGAAATGAATCATATTCGATTACTTTGGAAACATTTGGCAAAAAATATAAGTATGGCAGTTTGACTTTAGTTGGATCAGCAACTAATCGGTTGTATAAATCATCCTTGATAGATTTATGTGTTTTTAATTTTTCTATAAGAGAATTCATTGATTCAATCATATCCTTTAATGCAATGTGTAATGGTTTTTCATTTGTTTCTAAATTGAAATCGACTAGAACTTTATAATCATCCGATCTATTGAAAAAGTTTTCGGCTTTTGTTTCAAAATCTTGAATGTTGCCCACATAGAAAGTATTCATGTTGTCAGCAGTACGTCGTAAAATAAGATTGTTTTTCTTTAAAGAATTTCGAATTGATTGAATCAATTCCTTTTCATAATAAGCACGCTCATATAAAGACGATGGTATTTGACTCGAAAATAATTCTTCGAATTTTTCATACATCTTACTTTGAAATTCCATGCGAACGGGTAAATGAATGTTATGCTTTGCGAATATACTAGCTAATTGATGATTCAATGGAGCGAATTGTTTTTTTGTAATATCATACATGGATTTGTTCGCAAACGAAATATATGTTTGGCAAGGTGGAATATAACTTGGCCCACGACTCAATATTTGTAGTTGTTTTTGTGTGAATCGGTGTTTAGTATCAATAAAAAGGGAATATGAAAATCCAATTTTTTGTGGCGTATCTTGTTTTTCGTTGTGATTCAAAGAATCAAATTCATAATAAGAATTTTGAAGAAAATAATCGATCCTATAATTGTAGACATCTCTCCATCGATTAGTAACATTATCCAACTGTTTTTCAATTAAATTAAGTAATCCAGTAGTCATTCCTTGATTTTTAACTAAGTTACGGTGATTTGTCCACATTTGAGATAGAGCCGAATCAAAAATGTTTTGACATCGATAATATCTTATTTCAGCTTGTAATAGATGCACAGCTAATGAATCAAGTTTGTGATAATCAATAATTTTTTCGTGCATATTTGAAAATTGTCGGTAAAGTTTATCGTTTGTTGTATTCGATGGCACCGTTGGTATAGATATTTGGAGAGGATCGAAAAAAATAAATGATTTATGAAAGAAAATGCCTTGTTTCAATTCCATTAATAATCGTTTCGAATTTTCAGTTTCACATCTTCTGTTAATAAGACGTTGTACTACTTCAATCTAACCGGCAAGAAGAAATAAACATGATATATTTACTTAGGATAAAACAACATATCTTTTCTACCTGATATTCATTCGGTTGCTCCTCTAAATATTTTCGTTTTAGGATTTCTGATTCATAATTGTATGTAATCTTTGTTATTGTAGTATCACGTTTCAATTCAAGTGGCTTAATTCCATATTCTTTTATATAGATATGGATACATTCTTCCATTGCGCCTGTAAATCCAATTAAAGAAGTTTTTAGTTCATTTAATTGTTGTTGTAAATGTTCAATAGTTTCATTTAGTTCTCGTAAATGTTGACAAACAAATTGCTCAGGATCGAAAGTTGTGTCAGTTGCAGTTGTAACAGAGTTAGGCACCATGGTCATTAATTTACACTGTTTGAACATGAGGGATTTTATTTGAATGGGCACAACTCGATGATCCACTTCAACCAAATCGTAGTCTGGCCCTTGTAATATACCTGTGACTGACTTCAAATAGATTTCTGCAATTTGTTTTTTAATATGCAAACTTTCAATAAGGTACATTGATACAACTATTTTATGTATATCATTCAGAGTAAACGAATGAATATCTTTCATTATATGTTGTGCCATACGAATAAATGATTTATTGTTCATTTGTAAATAGGTTGGTATTTCATATTGTTTGCTAAAAATGAGATCGTCTTCCTCTTCTTCTTCATCATCATAAGATATTTTCATTCTTTTGGAATTTGTATTTGAAGTGCTGGATCGTCGCTTTTTATCAGTTGTAGCAAATGAATCACATTCCTTCTGGTTATTTGTTGATAATTCACTCATTTTTTGTGATAAAATAGTTTCAGTATCTTGTTGTGGTTTTTCTTCTTCTTCTTCTTCATGTTCTTTCATGTTCTAAATAAAATAGTCAAAACATATGAAATACTTTTAATTTTGAATATTTTTTTAACAAAAGTAATACTACTTGAACATCACTGGAGTTATCGAATGTATCGATTTCCAAAACTTCATCTTCGTTTATTGTCGGCTTCAAATGACCTGATAGAAAGTAGCGATTTAATTCGTCGCTTGTAAATTGAAGCCCATCATTAGTATCATCCATAATGTCAAACATATCATTGTATGGTTTCATAGGATTCAATGTTTTACTATCTCTTGACATTGAAATAGTATTTGTATCAGCTGTTGACAGATCGAAAAGACAAAATATTTATATCTGAAATACATGAGGCTTATTATTACAAGAAAAGAATTTTTCTGTATGAATCAAGCTTGCTTCCCACTATTTATTTTACACATAGAACTCTTTTGATATTTCTGAAAAAACAAATTTGTTCACACCATACAAATAAAATTGCTATGGATCACTTAGATCAATAAAATATTTAACTGGCATTGGTCGTGTTGTATGTTCCACGTATTCATAAATGAGCTGTCGTAGTTGGACAATGAATTGATCATCTAAAGATGTCTCTTGTTTTTCACGTTGTATTGGTGATGATACATGCCGATCTTCTGTAACAGATCGGAGTTTCTGTTGTTGTTTTTGTTCATTCTACAATAGAAGACGATAATATATAACTATTTAATATTTTAACTAAAATAATTACTTCTTCTGATCTCTTCGCAGGTCGTTCCTTTGAAAGTTGGGACCACCTCGCATTATTATGTATAATAAAAAGAAATGGTCGACGATTCGTATTTTTTGTATTACATAATTCTGGTTCACTAAAGTTTGCTGATTCCAAAGGTTCAGTTTTATGCACGGTTTTAATATTTGAACTATTATCATCAGATGATAGATATTCTGTGAATATATCTCTAACAATTGTATTCAAATCATCAGAATTGGATTCCATATACGATGAAAAGTTTGGAAATAATGATTTTAGTCTAGAATAAAACACAAGTGTAAATTAAAGAAAGAGGCTTTTTGATTATATAATATAGAACTTTTTAAATTTTCAGATTCAATATATAAGCAAGGGATAATTTTTTCATATGATAACATATATATACATATAAACACACAGGGAAACAAGAATTCAAAATGTCTTTATATTGAAAAAGAAAAAATTAAAATCATATAGAGTTGCTATAAAAATAAATTTGACAAATCAAGAACCACATTAATTGGATAAGATCGTCGAGTTCGTTGAAGATAAGCTCGAATCGATTCTTCTAATTGGAATCGTAATGTATTGTACAGAAGTGTTTCGTGCTCTTCTGTGTGAGCGATTCCGAAATGAATTGGTACATATGGTATTAACATACCACCTCGAAGCCGCTGGTGCCATTGCTGTGCAATACAATGAAAAATTTTCAAATGGATGTTATTTTTTTCTTACTTGATTTGGTGACTGTTGATATTGTTGTGTACGTTCCAATAGGTTTGGAAAGTTTGTTAGAGTAATCACAAAATATCGATTTCCCGTTGCTATTGCATATGAAACAGGTGCTGGTGATGCATTTGAGGTATTCATATCTTATTTTTAAAAATCTACAACCCATGTACAAATTTCTGTAGATATAAAAGTTTTGTGAAATCACTGAATATAAACGCAATTTTTTTCTAATACTACAGAAGTAATCACAGTTTATTGTAATAGAGTTTAACAATGTATGAATAAATAGGAGAATAATAATACAATACTGAAATTATTGTGTTATATTTTGAATTGATTCAAGTGGTCCAGACTTTGTAAGATCTGAATCGAGGATTGCTGGTTCTGTAGATTGACTATATAAAGATGGCCAATGCATTCTACGTTGTAACCATGCAGGTGAAAACGAAAGTGTACGTATTGATTTCTCGATTTTAATATTAGAAACTAAATTTTTGAAAATAGTATATTGTTTCTCTTCGGTTTGATTTTTCAATGTCCATCGTGTTATCTTATTATGGAGCATGTATTGAATGGTAGCACTAGGCAAAACGTATGTACAAAATAAAGTTATATACTATTCCGTGTTATTTCTCTAATAATTTCTACAATAGAAGATATAGTATTGAACTTTATTTCATAGATCGCAACTTACATGTACATTTAAAACACCATAAGACAACATAAACACTAACAAGGAACAAATTCATACATAAGAAATTTTATATTTCGACGTCAGACATATCAAAAACATAATGAATAGGATATGAACGACGTGTTCGAGTTAGATAATCACTTGCTGCTTCTCTTAATTCTACTTCTAACAGACTAGTGAGTATTTGTTCACGATTATTATTATTATTATTATTATTATTATTATTCACTGTTCCCACATTTGTAGAACCTTGTTGTCCTACAGCTGTTGTTTGCAGATTGTGTTGTAACTATAATACAACGAAATGATAAAAGGATTTCTTATAAATATATCGTAACTGTACTCGTGGTTGAAACGTTCGAGTATGTTGCAGCAATTCAGAGTTATTTGTAACAATAATTATAAATTGCCGATGCGGAGCACTGGTTGAACGAGTTGCCGGTAAATGGCCAACTATTTGTATCCGTCTTGATGGCCGTGTGCTCGATGATCGATGATGAGAAGAAGACATGCTTACTGTCTCGAATAGTCTACAATGAATTTCAATGGAATCATTCATATACAAGTATGTGTTAAACTTTTTTTCATAACAGTGAAAAAAAAATAAAAGAAATCCAGCTGATTTTATTAATCTTGCAGTAATATTTTAGAGTTCACTATAACTATTTAAAGAAGGGAAAACAGAAAAATTTGCTAAAAATTTAAAACTTTAAATTATTGTTCAAATTTTCTTCGTTTTCCATTGGAATTGGGATCACTGGCATCGAATGAGTATCCAATCCTATCCGTAGGATTCCATTCAATTACAAATGGATGTTCTATCCGTCGATGTGCTTTCGGGTTTTGTTTACAAGATTTTTCCGCTTGCTTCGGGTTCCACACAGTTGACAGTGTATATTCAAATAATTTGTAATATTTCTTAAAATATGAATAGGATTTGAAACAAAATTACCATGAATATGATTCTTACCAAGTGTGGTTGCCTTGTTGCATCACTTATATCCATAGCATTGTCGATGGAGGAATTTTCCGCCATAAAATAAAATCTGTAATAGAAATGTGACGACCTATATATTTATTCTTTTGCTTTGAAAAATATAATAATGAAATAGTGTTTTTCTTGATATACAAAGGCCTATGCTACAATCAACTGTTCATTTCTTGTTAAATACGAGTATCACTAGGTTGTTTAATCAAAATAACAAGATTGTACTTTATTTGACTGCCATGATCAATACTCCAACGTATAGTGGTATCGTATGAATAATGACGACCTTCTCGATTCATAAATTCACTGATTAACTGTTGTAATCGTTCAATTAATACTTCATTAGCTAATGCTTCATTAAGCATACAAACTGGATTGCACGAGACTTTATTAGTAGTTGTTTGTAGTGAGGTCGTTGTCTTGTCAGTATTGATCTTTGAGTGTTCGAATGGATGTTCTAATCGAGGAAATGATGTTGTCAATCGTTTTCCATGGAGTATACTTGGATTACTACGATTATTGTTTGTTGTTGTTGTTGTTGTTGGAGTTGCTTGTAAATTGTTAACAGGTTCACGAGACGACTGTAATTTATATGATTGATGATTTTGTTTTGAAAATGACATATTCAGTGTTATCGAAAGATTGATTATCTAAAAAAATGTGAGTAAACATCTTACATTTGACATATAGTTAAATATGATTTTTTTCTTATGTGCAAAAAAAAAAGAAAACTATTTCTAATCGTTTATTTCGAAAATCATTAAATCAAACACACAGAATTTCGTTAGTATAGAAGTTCTTGTTGATGTCTGAAATATATACACATAAGAAGTAAATATCTATATAATCTGTAGTAAAGAATGAGATTGATAATGATGGTGATTATTTCTTTCCAATGATTTCATTTGATGTCGTTCTTTTAGGTTGAGGTCGACGCAATAAACCTTGACACCATTGATCCTGTCGAATTAACCACGGATTATTCATAGGATAGTAATCAACATTGCGATTCTCATTCAAAACATTACCAATGGTATTCAGATTCGGTGCAACATGAGTTATAAACAATGATTCAATGGTATACCGAAACATTTCTGTACATGTCTCTGGTACTAGAAGAAACAATAAAATATGATTCTCTCTAAAATATATTTGAGTCTATATAATTCCATCACTTACAAACAGCAACAATTGTTGCATTATATAAATCAATATCACAATTTGGCAATGTTCTATCGCGTGTCTTATGAAAATATTGTGTTTGTAAAAGAATTTGTCGATTTGAAAAAGTATATCCTGGTGGTGGTTTTGGAACACTTCCAACACATACTGTTGTATCTTCTTTAGATCGTATATTCCAAGTAAGTTCGTCAGAAAAAATAAATGGTTGAATCATTTTCTGTTCAAGTCTTTCTGATTCTTCGAATGGCATTGGTACAAATCGCCAATATTCTGGATTGGCATCCAAAAAGATTTGCATTCCTACAGAACATTGTGTCGAATGTTGATAAAGTTTCATACGATCCTTTGCTAAGATACTAAAGTAAACAAAACATGAACAATATGAAAGAAAAATTGTAATAATTTCTTTTTATACATACTCTTTTGATTTACCTCGAGGTAAATCACGAAGAATATTTTCTTGTCCTAACAAAAATTCATGCATAATTCGATTACCGTGTTCGCGATGTTCTATATATAAAAGCGAATAAATTGAAAACGAAAAGTGAAATATGGATACTTATTAAACGATCATGCAAACTATTCGCTGTTGTACCAATATACTCGAATTGACCACATGGACATGTTAATACATAAATAATATTTTGTGTATGACAAGACTATAATATATGCATTTTACCCATATAGATAAAAAGATCATTTGTTTGAAGAAAAATTACTGCGGAACAATTTAAAATCGATTGATATTTAGTAATGAATGTATGTTGATGACCTTGATTAAATTCCACAATGTTTTTTTTTGATCGATATCTCATATCATATTTGGGATAACATAATCCACAATTACCACATGCAGCAAGTTCATATCGAGCTTCTGGTTCCCGTAAACAAAAAAGACCTTCATTCAGGGTACGTGGTCGAGCATGACGAAATGAACAAGTTTTCATATAGAACATATTGACTAGATAATAATAGAAATAAATAATTCAGAGAAAGACTAAGATCTACTGCATAGAGATTTACCATCAAATTGTAAAAAGAATTCCAATGCAATAGGATATTCTTTTTCATCGATTTGCTGAATTTCATGTGGCCGAAGATTGAATACACGCATATGTTCATAACCTAACATTCTTATATATTTATTGAGACGTGTATAATTAAAATCCAAAATTGCTATATCGACTTTTAAACGTTTAAGTAAATCATCGAAAAACATGTGGTATTTTTCACGGAGCAGTGATGGTACAGTCGTATCATTCTTCACAATTTCGAATGCCGATTTAAAAGTGCCAGGATGTCGACGAGCTAATTCTGTTTCGCCTAATTGATGGGCTAAAATTTTTGAGATAAGGTGACTATATCTTTCAAAAATTCCTTTACATACCTGGTATATTTGATAATAATGGTTCAGCATCATTTTGTATATGATTATTACTGGGATACGACGCTAAAATACATAATCGACGTTGAAGATTTGGAAATCGCTCAAGCAACGTTTTTAATACGGAAGTGTTCTCTGCAAATGCTGGCATAATCGAAATATCATTTATCCCTATGATGGGAGTACATAAATCAATGATTTCTATTATGTCATTGCCATCAACATCCATTCTTTGTGTTTTCTTCAACAATTTCGATGCGTGTTGTAGGTTTAATCTCAATGACGATTTATCATCATTACTTTTCTCTCGATCATCCATAATAGAAAAGGACAATACACTTCCAAGCAGAGAATTCTTGCAATATTTATCTATAAAACATAAACACATATTTTTTCTATTTGTTCTATTCGAAGCACTTTCGCTGCAAATTTTAATATTGACACTTATAAAACGAACAGCAAACACAACTATTAAGCACTAACATATATATATATATATACATATACATATGTTTCAACAAATTGTTACGCACTATAATTCTAAGTACATGAACAGAGTCACGTTTGAGTTCAAGGTAAGTTGCCTTGCAATCACTCAGCAACAAAGTCATCCTGCTTTATAATGTAATCCATGTCGCTTTCCTTCTCACGACGTATCCAGCCACATTCTTCGTAGTGAAGTACACGATAATTAGGATAACCTGTTGATCACCATAAAGGATCAAAATTCACCAGTCACCATAACGATAATCATTCCAAAAAAAATACAATTCAAGCAATATCTGTAAACGTACTTCATCAGTTTCATAAAATACTAGTGAAACTATAAATTCCCATTAGAAACTGTCATTTTCATGTAAAAAACAAGACAGAACATCGTACACCCACCCACATCAGCAAACACCAGAAACATTTGGACCAGTTTATATAACCATGCACATTTTTTCACAGCAACTTCGACTTTAGTTTGTCAACTTCTTAGTTGTAGTGTTTAC